GAAAGATGCATCAGCTGAGCAATATGAGGTTCCTTTCAGAACGCTACTCACTCCAATCAAGAACCTGGAAGTTCTGTCAGAGATTATAGTGGATTTCAACAGTTTGAAGGAAAATGGTTTTGACCTATCAGAAGAGATTCAAGCTCAAGGATGGGAGAAATATTTTGACAGGTTGGTGGGTCCAACTTTTCCTATCTTGGTTAAGGAATTTTGGATTCATGCCTCTTCCTCAAATCACCAAGTCACCTCTTATATAATGGGGAAGAAAATTGTGATTACTGAAGATTTGATTGCTCGTCTGATTGGCTACAATGGTGGTGGCATTCGCTGTATAGACATGGCTGAAAGATGTTCAGATGTTGCTGTTATAGCAAGGCAAATTTTCACGCCGGGGCTTCCCTCCAGCAAGATAAGGGCTCTGAGAGATAAGCACAGAATTTGGGCAAAGATTATTCTGGGCTATTTCAATCACAGGAAGCCTACAAGCTCTCCTGATTACATAAACATAGATCAGCAGTTTCTGATTTATTTTATCAATCAGAAGGTAAAGATTAATCTAGCTCATCTTCTGTTCAACCATCTGAGGACCAGCGTCAAGGAGACTAGAGAAGAAGAACGTACTAAAAGGGATTGGATACCCTTGGGCAGATTGATATCAGATATTCTGACTGAGAATAGGCTGATTGAGCACTTGACAGAGGCACAAGAGATCAGCACCCTGGAACCATCTGTTGGCAAGCAGCTGAATGCCAAGAATCTAAAGAAGATGAAGCTGATAGAGAACATTAAGAAGGAGCCCAGCGTTACTCCTTTTGCTGAAATCTCCAGCAGAAGAATTCCTCTGGACGACTTCCCTATGTTCTCAGAGATTGACTCCAAGCCTCAAATAGTTCTGAGATACTTGGATGCGTGCAAAGCTGATGGTACAGCACCCAATCTAAACATTCAAGATCTTCAACAGAAGGCACCAGAGGTTGCTCTGAAGAAGACTAAGAAGAGAAAAGCTTCTCTAGAAGGACCATCACAACAGACTCCAAAGAAAAGAGGTAATCTTGTTTCTGTATCTGTTTTAAGTTCAAGTGTTGTTTCCTCATCTATTCCTACCCCTATTCCAACTCCAGCTGATATCCCAACACCTCAAACCTATGAAGATTTTGACATTGATTTTGACCCTTCTGAGTCTTTAACCCTCAGAAGATCCCGCTCCAAACTCTGAAATTCCCATTTCTCCACAACCTGACATTCCACTTTCACCCATTCCAGAAACTCCTCTCACTCCAATACCAGAACCAGAAATCCCACAACCTTCCTCTCCCCAACCAGAAAATAATCCACCATCTCCTCCACATGCACAAACTCCACAACCTGAGACACAAAACTCTAAGGCTCAAACCTCTGAGTCTCCTGAACCACAACCCTTGGCCATTCAATTGCCTTGTGGTACAACTGTGAACATGTCTCAACTACCATCCTCACCAGAAATAACTCCTCCAAACACCCCATCTAGTCCAATCGTTATTTCTGATTCTCCTACTCCCTCACCTAAGAAAAATACAGAAAACCACAGCAAGGCAGTCATTGATCTAACAATCCTTGAATGCCTTGCTGCAATAAACCAGAAAACTGCCATCCCCAAACCGAAACAACCAGATGTTAGTTCCAGCATGATGAACTTTGAATCAGATATGCAGAAATGGATATCTTCTTTGAAACAAGCAACTCTGGAAGTTGTTGATCCTGCTGTATCAGATCATCTCTGGACTCAATTCAAAAGATAGGTATGCGCTGAAACTTTCAAGCTGCAAGACCAGAGCTATGGACAGGCTCAGTAGAACTTCAGCAATCTGCTGAAGGAAATGGAAGGTCCAGTTCTGAGCAAGTTGCTGAAGGAAGAAGTTCTGCATCTGGACAGTGAGCCTTGGTCTGAAAAGCGTCCAGCATCTCAAGTTCAAGCTACAAAAGAACAGGTTATTCAAGCTGAAGACTTGGGTCAAGCAGAAGAAGCTACAGAAAGCTCTGATAAGCAGACTATATCTGAAGATCCTCAATCTTCCTCTGTTGATAGGCAGACTCTGGAGGATTTGAAGAGATCAGACATGCTGATGAATGAACGGATGGACAAGTAGGATATCAAGATTTAATCTATTACAAACATGGTAGCAAAGCAAACTGAAACCAGCGAACAAATCAAGAGCATGTTGGAAGGGTTGTTCACACGACTTCCTCCTTCTTCTTAGATTTTTTTCTTATGTTTTCCTTGTTCTATTTACATGTTTGACTGTAATATTTCTACATGTTCTAAACTATCATTGCTTCTGTTTCAATATAAACGTGTTTTGCTCTAATCTTTTTTAACTCTAATTAATTATGTTTTTGATAGCTGACAAAAAGGGGGAGAAAGAATGATATTTTTCAATAACGGTTTACTGAGACAAAAGTCTCAAACATTCTAACATTCTTATATATTTGAAGTTCTTTGTTCTGAAAAGCTTACAGGTACAAGAATCTGAAGAACTCTGATAAAGCAAAATTCTGATGCTTAAAGAAAGGTTCAATAAAGTTCTGATACTCAAGGAATCAAAAGGAAATAATCAACTCAGGGGGATTTTTTCTCATCTTTACTCTGATACTTTTTATTTATTACCCTCTCAGCTCTGATAACTTTTTCTCATTATCTGATTAGCTCTGATACTATTTCCTCTCTATTCTTAAACTCTGATACTTTCATCACTTTGTTTTAATTGAAAAAATCTAGTTTTTGTCATCATCAAAAAGGGGGAGATTGTTAGAACATAGTTTGATTCTACAACCCTTAGTTAGAGTTTTGATGATAACAAAATACAAGATTAAATGAATTATGAGTGTTATATAAGACATAGATGCTACTTAAAATTATGTTGTGTATTTACAGGAAACTCTGATAGAATAAGCATCAGAACATCTGTATCAACATCAGCATCAGAAGATCAATACATGTGCTACGCTCAAGTCTGATGAACAGAATCTGCGCTCAACACACTCTGACTCTGATCAGGATCTTATCAATGTCATCAGCACTCAGAAGCAATCAGAATAAGCTAAAAGCCAAAGAACGCTCTGATCTTAATCAAGCAGAACATTCTGAAGTGTTTATGTTACTGCATTCAAGGCAGATTAATTACCAACAGCTTTATTCCAAGACAAAGATCTTCTCAAAATGGAAAGAATGTAATGAGCATTGAAATGGAATTATTGGCATCAATGTATCTATTCCAAGAAGTATTTAAACAAATCAGTGAGAAGTGAAATGGCTAATGCTCTACAGTACCTTACACGCATATACACGCCAAAAGCAATCATCATCAAGCTCGTTCTCACTTTTTCTAAAAGCTCTCAATTGATTATTCTATAGCTCTAGCAATCTAGTATCATCTAAGCTTTATTTTGTGTATTATCACAGTTGTGATATATCGTTTTTTCTAGAAAACATTTAACACACATTTGTTCATTTTTCTGTAAAAGAATTTCCTTGAGAAACCGGTTTGTGGTTTAGACTCAAGAAGGCTTTAGCAGTTGTTAAAGCAGATTTGTATTCAGTTGAATATAGTGGATTAAGACCTCGTTGGAGAGAGGCGAAATCACCTTGACGGGTGGAATGGAGTAGTTTGAGATCAAACGAACCAGGATAAAAATAATGTGTTGTCTGCATTTCATTTCAAGTTTTAACAATTCAACCCCCCTTCTTGTGTTTTTTCACTTCTTCAGTCTTCTCAGTATTTTACATTGTAGTTTTCATCATCAAAAGAAAACCTATTACCTGCAAAACAAGGTTCCACATCCTTGGCCCCTTCGAGGCGATCAGGACGCTTGATCCCTAAGTGAGATCATTGCCACCTTATGAGGCGATCAAGATGTTGGATCCCTAAGTGACATCTGCGTCTCCATATGAGGCGATTAAGATGTCAAATCCATAAGTAGGATCCTTCTAGCTTGTGAGGAAATTAAAACGGTGGATCTCTAAATGAGATATTTGATGTCCTATGAGGTGATCAAAACCATGGATCCTTAAGTGGGATCCTTTCCTCCATATGAGGTACTCAAAATGAGGGATCCCTAAGTGGGATCATTTCTGCCCTATGAGGTGATCAAAATGTTGGATCCCTAAGTGGAATCCTTGCCGCCCTATGAGGCAATCAAAACATTGGATCCTTAAGTGGGATCCTTGCCTCCCTATGAGGTGATCAAAATGTTGGATGTCTAAGTGAGATCCTTATCGACTTATGAGTTGATTAAAATGATGAATCTCTAAGTTGGATCCTTGCCATGCTATAAGGCGATACAAACGCTGGATCCTTAAGCGGGATCCTTGTCGCCCTATGAGGCGATTAAAATGTCAGATCCCTAAGTAGGATCCTTTCGCCTTATTAGGCAATCAAAATAGTGGATTTCTAAATGAAATCTTTGTCTCCCTATGAAGCGATCAAAAGGTTGGATAGCTAAGTGGGATCCTTTTCATCTTTTGAGGTGATCAAAATTTGGGATCACTATGGAGGCTTTTTTCCACCCTTAGAGACAGACAAAACGTTGGGTCCTAAAGAAAAATCCATGCAGTTCTTAAAAGCAATCAATTTATTGCATGTGAAGTGATGATAACAAACACTTAAACCAAGGGCTAGAAGAACAATCATATAGAACTGACCATGGAAGAGAATAACAACAAATTGGATTAACATAAAAGACGCCCTAAGGGGCTCTGTGTTCTTACAATAACACAAAGCTCCGAACAGGGGATGAAATACGAATAAATTCCACCATAGGCTAACAAACATTACAAGAACACCAACCATAAATTCTCCTCATGAATTATGTACTTCTCAATGTCATCCTCCAATTAAGTGGCTCTAGATTCACCGCCTCCTATTTCCCTTCCCTCGTCCTTGGAGTCCTTGGCGAAAGCATAATTTTTAAGCTCTAAAGGAGTCGCCACCTCTTCATCCACTAGTTGGCCATCACAAACAAATTTAAGGAAGTACATTTGGCTCATATCCATCTTGGGTAAAGGAAGGAAACTTGTTCTTTGAATACTCAAAGTAGACGCCAGAAGTAGACACCACCTCAATAAAAATCTCGAACACCTCCACCCCAAGCTCTTGTTGGCGGAGGAGGGTGGCGTCCAAGGACTCATGCAAGGATTTCTCTTTACCAGTAATATCCTTATCCTTGGACTTCATATTTTCCATGTCTCCTTGTATTTTTGCAAGGCCTTTAGTATCCTCTGGCTCTCATTCTAGGTGTCTACATACTTCTAGAGATTTTCCTTTTTCTTCTTCTCAATCGTATCCCTCCTCTCCTAGTTGACATCTTCTATCTCCAACGCCCTTAGTAGAAGGTTATCCTTAATGCTTACAATTGTTGAAATCGATTTTGATTGGAGGGCTTGGTTATGACCAGGGAATTCCTTAGAGAAATATATGTAAGAGATATTAAATTGGAGAGTGTTAAAACTGACATCACTCCATAACATATCAGGTCGTGCTTTAGTGATCTTTGTCCTATAATTGGGCAAGGCGGCACCGACAATGGGGAAGAACCATCCTTAAGCCTTTGAGCCTTCACATAGGGAGAGTTTGGAATTAGATCCTTATGAGGTACTCTGGGGACCCTTAGTCTCCCCAGTAGTAGCATGAATCTTCTCCCATCATCTTCTTTTCTCTTCTGCATAAATCTTCACTGTCTGGTCTAAAAAATAATGCACAGAGGTCACAAATTATATATAAAAATACCTTTAAAGGAAAAAAAGTGTCTAACATATACCTAGGTAAGAGGCGAGATGTTTACCACACTCCAAACATAATTTAATTATTATACACGAGTACATGAATTTAAACATCTCTAGGAGCCAAAATATCCTCGCCTCCTTGAAGGTAAGATACTTTTTTTTATGTCCCATTATCATTTTTTCAGGATAAAGGAAAGAGGGGCCTCATCATCCCCCAAAATTCCAAAATAACATTCTCACCCCTCACGCGAAGAATTTTTCCATCCAATTCTTTTAGTAATTAAAGTGAGACGCAAAAAAGGCATCCCCGACAAACCATCTAAGGACACCCATATACCCTCCTCCAGTTTGATGGTGTAAAATGAGAAAAAGACTCTTACCAAAGGAGTAATCTTTAGGTATTCAAGGACCGTCTCAAAGGTCCTGATAAAACCCGAACAGTTAGGGAACATTTGGGAGGGTGCAACATTGAGAAGCCTCGAAACCTCCATGAAAAAAGAGGAAAGGGCGAAAACAATTCCAATATCCTTAATAAAAGGGATGTAGAAGTAAAATTAAGGGGACAAATGATCGGAGGAGACGGGCATGATCACCCTCTCTGATAGGGAACAATCCTCTAGAATAACCAAATCTTCATCGTCTAAAGAAGACACCTCCACTTCTGATTGACAATGAAAGATTTTTTTTTCTAAAATGTAATCAGATCCAATATCCTTAGTGTCCTTGGGCATGAAAGAAAGGGTAGTAATTGTACTTTTGTTCCTGGGAAAATAGTAGAACAAAAAGAAATCACCATCACAATTGTCAAATGGAGTGACTATAACCTTGAATACCTACAACCCTACACAAACTTAACCCTTATTTCAAACATTTCTTTATAAACCAAACACATTATAGAAATAATTGAGAGAAATGTAATTTCATACTTGGAAAAAGGGTGTGAAAGAATAATAATTTGTAAAGAGGAGTTGTGTAATTCAAATGAGCTTGCAGAAGTCATGGCAGCAAAATCGAGAAAATAAAATGGAAAGAGAAAGCTTTTATAAGGGAGTTAAAACATAAGGGACCTTTTAGAGTCCACTGTAAATTTTAAAATCTAAACACCTTTATGACATGTACCACTAGCATTTAAGGTCTTGAAAAATAGACAATCATTACTTACAAATTAAATAGAAGTAAGTGTGACCATGTGAATGATTGATTAACATTCCCAACAGACTTAACAACTCATCAAGAGACATCCGGAAAGGGTAGATGACTCATCCCTCAATTAAGGGCATATGTAAATAAATAGGAACTTACCTCAAATTAAATAAGTCATCTTTAGTAGTGGCACTTTCTCCAAGTTGAAGGACTTACCTCGCCTTAAACGGGTCATCTTCAGTTCAGGGACTCACCCCAAGCTGATGGACTCACCTCACTTTAAAAAGGTCACCTTCAGCTGAGGGACTCACCCAAAGCTAACGGACTCGTCCTGCCTTAAACAGGCCACTTTCATCTGAGGGACTCGTATCAAACTGAGAGACTTTCCTCTCCTTAAAAGTTTGCCTTCAGTTGAGGGACTTTCCCCAAGATGAGGGACGTACCTAACGAATGAAAGAAGCCTCTAAAATAATTTTCCCTTTTTAAAACCCTCGTGCTTTAGGGTTTGTGTAGTCTTATATTTTAATGAGTCCAAAAAATGGGTGATTTAAAGGTCTCCTTGGAAGATATCACCAAGGCATTATACTCACATGATATGGTGCTCGCCCTCAAGGATGATCATGTGTATAGTACAATTATCTCCCATTAGTCATACAAGAAGGAGTTGTGTCATGAGTCCTTTAGAAATAGGTGGTCAATAGTCTCCTCTAGTCATGAGGGGGCGATTAGTGCCTCTGATGGTTTCTTAAACCCTAGACCCAAAAGACCAATATATATACCTCCCCTAACGGGTGAAATGGGGACAAATCCTAACTAACATTATAACATCATAATTCATACGCTTATACCAAAAAACCAAAATGAGACACAAAGTCTATCATATAATGTGAGCGGGTCTCTAAAACCACGATAAACCATAGCACAGGGCTTCTCACCTCTATGGGCAAGCCCTAACCACCACTGATTATTATAAACCTACTAAGGCATGTGAGTACCCTTGTAGGGGTAACATGCACACATGTACTTTTTTATCAATACACATTGGTTGTGTAAAAAATGGCATTGTTGTTGAGGACTGGAGTTAGTTATTAATAAGTACATTTTCATATTTTTATCGTTTTAAGTTTTCTATTTATATCTGTTTATTTTCGTACATATTTTGTTTATAGTCACAAACTCACTAACAAGTATCTAGTAGTATGTTGATATTTGTTTATGTGAGGTAAGGTTCATGAAAGAGAACTTATGTTTAATCCTTGAATAGAACGAACTGCACGTAGAAACAACAACAACAATACTAGGAAATCAAATTTGTTAGCCAAGCAACAAAATATAGAAGAGTCTTATGTCAAAAAATCAGAAAACATGGCAGACACTAGAAATAACAACAATAATATGGAAGACGCCAACATAAACAATAATAATGGAAATAATAATGGTGGTGGCATGCCATGCCACAACAGTCACTCCAACACGATTAGATCATATAGCTAGACCATAAAGGAATACCTGCCAAGCTGAGGTATGAACATGTTTTTCAAAAATTCTTTATACTAACTGAAACTCTGGCACTTACAACAGGTGTTAATACTGATGTGTCAACATTAAAACATAATGTCAAGACATATGTTACGACATTTGCGGACAGACAGAAAAAATATACCAAAATGGTAACTTATGCAAAAAATAAATTGCAGAATGTTAAATAACATAGCTGATTGTTAACCCATTTCGGTGCAACGTCACCTACTTTGGGGACTACAAAGCGAGGAAGGAAATTCACTATGACAGTATTAGTTCAAAGCATAAACAATCCCAGTGTACAACTTCTCACCTAATCACTACCTTGTGAAACTTCTACCTAGAAGCCTTCTAGATATGGGATTCCCCCTCTCACTTCCTACCAATCACATCAGTGATAAACTACAATCATAAACCAGTGACTAGAATCAAAAACCAAAAGATTCCAATTCCAATAAACAATACTTGACTCTTTGCTTAAAAGATCATGAGTGAGAATAATACTTAATTTTGCTTAAAATCTTCAACCAAAAACAATAACTTGATAAACAATCAAGTAACAATCAGTCTACCTCACTGCATCAAAATATAAATGAGTAACCTAGAAAAACACAAGATAATCTCAAAACCTAAGACTTTTGACTTCACCTAATTTTACAATTATGAACATTTTAATTGCGTTAGGTTTAGGTTTCTCTTTAAATACACCTTAGTAGTCCATGGGCTTCAAAATCTCCACCCAAATATTTCTTTATCCAAAAGTTGAGGGTTTCACAAATCATGCAGAAAAATATCCTTAAATATTGGAATAAAACATCAAGTTTCCTAAATTGTCTCAACATCCAATTTTAGAAACTTATGTATAGCTGGAGATTAGATCACTTGTTCTAGGTTAAATCTTCTTGACCTGGAAAAATTATTGAGATATATCCAAAAGAAATATCACAAAATCAAATCAAATTTGTCAAGATTTAAAATAGCCTGTATTGATGTTCTGGTTCAGCATATCACAACATTTGTCAGAACATTTATCTTCAATGCAACATTCACACTCTGTTGTATTAGTTTGATCAAGATGTTATGACATCTTGCTATGCATCTATCATGAACCATGTTTTATCAAAAATGCTACCAATCCTAAAACCATGGGTCTAACAATCTTCCTCTTTGGCAAATTTTGGCTAAAACAACCATTACAAAATAACCCTGGAGAGAGGAATAAAACTACAAAAACTAAAACACAAGCTACATATTAAAACATGTAAACTTTTTACAAACTGCAAAAATAAGTTGTATTAGAGATAACATCTTGTTTTACAACGAACTATATATATCGTACTGAAGAGATCAACCATCTATTGGAGTAAATAAGATTCACAATGAACTATCGCTATCACACTAAAGATATCAACCATTCATTGGAGTTGTTGTACCCCAAAATTTGCCCTCCCATATTTCTCAAAATATTTCAAGAAAAATTCACAAGTCTAACCCGGTGCGTCATATTCAGGTATTCTTTCGCCAAGATATCTCTGATAACGTATTCTCAAATTCAGGTTGGGCTCAAGAGTCAGTTCTTTAAAGAAAGTATCCGAATGTGTGAGTTTTCTTGAAGAAATATGGTGAAAAAGTGTGCTGAAAGTGTAGTTTTTACGCGCTAAAAAATTCATAACTTGAAGATCGTGACTCGTTTTGAACCCGTTCCAGTGGCCAAAATTCCGTCTTGACATTATCTACGTTTTCATCTCTCACGGCTGGAAGCCAATTTCGATCATAAGGTCTTCAAAAATGTGGATT